GCATAGCACAGTTTGCAGATATAGCTATAAACAAGAAAAGGGTAGCCAACCGCAAAGAAGAAATCAACGTGTAATTAAATAGCAAAGGCTAAGCCTCCTTTGGGGAGGCAGAGCTTTGGATGTGAATCCCTTCTCCTTCACTTGCTGCAAGTAAATAAAACCACCTAATGATGACCACGTCTCGTTCTTGAATGGAACACTCCAAGCTGCGAACCCTCTGAATTCAGTAACAGAAACCGGAGCTGACTGGCTGGCTTAGCACAAATTCTAACACAAATTGTGGACAATTAGTTTGCAATGTATTGGTGGTGTCGTCGGCTCAAATAAAGGCCAATATATTTAATGTTAAGCAGAGCAAATGCTTGAGCTGGCTGCCTACTTGCCCTTCGTACCTGGTGTTGGATGCGTTTTAGATGTTCCAGCAGGTCGTTCAGTTTCATCTCCTGCTCAGTCACTGTCTTCTGAAGCTGCCTCTTTTCCTTTTCTGAATTTTCCAGCTTCCTCAGGGCCTCAGAGAGTTCCGACGTCAGCTCCTCTATCCGTTTCCTAAAGCAAAATGGCAACGACAGGAGGACGGACTTTGGCGTCTGTGTCGGTGACTGTGAGCTAGCCGCGTGGGGTTTGATGTCTCACTCCCGGGCAGCTGCCCGCAATGTCCCGACCAGCTCGCAGGGGACAGAGCCTCTCTCGGGAGGTGAACCTGTGGTACCTGTTGGGTACGAGCTCCTCTTCGGTCATCAAGGAATCCTTCTGCAGCTTCTGAAGCTCTCTCTGCAGCTCCTGGATGGTGTCTGCCTGCTGCTTCTCCTGGAAAAGGACGCTTTGCAGTTTCTTCTGGGACTCCTCCAGGTTACTTTTTGCTAAAACAGCCTCTTCTTTATATTGGACTGCTTGCTGAGCTGCAGAAGACAGGAGACAAGCCAGTGGCATGTTCATGTGAGAAGGGAAGATGCGTGAAGATCAGACTCTCAAATCAGACCAGTTAAAAAGTTGTTCCTTCCTTTTGTGACCTACTTCAGTCCCCAATCTGTCCTCATTCCTCTCCATTTCATTATGACTCCTAAGGAGATATGTTAAACTATCTATCTTCAACTGCCTTTTAGCTCTGGACTCATTGACTAAAATTAAACAATAAATTGGTACACATTTCTCAGTATCTCTTAGGAGACTCATTCTGTCATGAGGGACATATCCTGACTCTCATGGAGGTCTAGTGAGGGAGCCGGAACTGGCTCACCTCATACAGAGACCACTGTAATGTTAAACTTGTAAAAACTGTGAACTCACGAATCAAGATCAATGCGAATAAGAAACAGCTGGAGATGGAGTTACAGAGGAACAGAGGCTGAGCTGGGCCTCAGAATGCGTAAAGGAATCCCAGGTGGGGGGAACTGTTGGAGTGAATGCTTGCTACAGGGAATGGGGAAGGCATGTGAGAAATGGATGGGAAGAGGCTAGTTTAAGGTCTGGGTAGAAAGAAAACTGAGTAGGAGTTCTGGGAGACGGAGCTGAGTAAGTGCATGGACTGGACGTGGCTTTGAAAGACTCTGAAAGCCTAAGAGAAAAATTTAGACTTGGTTTTGTGGTTTCTTGAACAAGGACCTGACATAAAAGAAAGAGGGCTTTAGGAAAATTGGAATGGATTAGAATGGAGAGAGACTTCCTACAATATCCTTTTACCCCATGTCCTTGCCTTCACTGGGTATGAAGGGGAAAATACCCAAAGAAGTTGCTTACTGGAGTTTTTCTACCATAAATATATCTCCGTAGCCTACAGTTTCTACTATTGTTTCTACTTTAAACATCACTCTCTTCTCTATTTTTTTCAGCCTTAGATACTAGAAGAAAGATGGTGTCATTACGGAAATAATTATGCACCTTGGAAGACAGAAGGACACTTTTTTTTTTTTTTTTAAATCAAGGAAGAGAATAGCTTCAGTTTTGGGAATGTTGTGTTAGAGGAAGGTGGGTTGCCCAGGTGGAGCTAGTCTCTACGACAAGACTGACCACAGGTGCGAAACCAGGGCTGAGGCTCTAAGTGTTGGCATCATCTGCAAGGGAAATGCAGCTACGAGGAGGAGAGGAGCTCACCAAAGAATGAGTGCAGAGGGAGGGGAGGAAAGGCGGGCAGAGCCTTGCGGATGAATGACCACTGTCAGAGCAGGAGGGAAAAGAGGAAACAATGGCGAGATCTGTGGAAGAACAAGGGACCCGTCATGTCTCCAAAGCTAAGAAACACTTGAGGTCGGGGGCCAACTGCGTAGACACACACAGGAAGGAAGCCAGGGTTTGGCACTTTATTTCCCCTACAAATTTCTGTGTCACTCACATAACATAAAATTTACCCTGTTAAAGTGTACCTTTCAGTGGTTTTTGGCATACTCACAAAGGCGTGCAACCATCACCAATATCTAACTCCAGAACATTTCATCACCCCAAGAGAACCCTCATGTCCAAGGCAAGAAGTTATTGGTGACCTCTGAAAAAGGCAGTATTTAGCAGAGGGACAAGGACACCATCCACAGTACAAACTGTGCAGAAGAGAATGTTTGGAGGCAATAAATAAATAAGTAAATAAATAAATAAGAGGAGAGGGTGTTAAAAACCAGGGAAGGAAGAGGCGAATTGTGTGATGAAGGTTCTGGAGAAGGTACAGGGGCGTGTGGTGCAGAGCAGTGAAGGGCAGGGCCCTGTCCTCCCTGTGGCGAGGAAGGAGGGGACCTTCATCTGAACTGCTGAGAAAACAGGGCGCAGTTCACTTTTCCAAACCTGCTTTGGAGTGAAGGTTCCAGAGAGAAGGTGAGGTGGAGACTGAGTGAAAGACTTCAAGAAGGTGGACCTTACTGCTGCAAGATGTGAGATGAGGTCACTGGAAGGCTGGGAGTGAGAAAGCGGAGAGGCAGAGGAACGTGGCCATTTGGAGAGAGAAAGGGGCTGCTTCAGCCCCACGTGTTGGAAGTGTGGCGGGGACAGTGCTTGCTGGGGCCTCACCAGCCAGCTTCTGCTGCTGCTGGACATCTTCGAGAGAGTCCTTCAGCTTCTGAACCTCAGCTCGCAGGGCCCCACACTCCACCTTGCAGTTATCCTGCTTCGCCTCCTGGATGGCGAATTCGCGTCCTGTTGTCATTAGTTGCTGCTTCTCCAGCTCCATCTCTTTTTTCATGAGGGTTGTCTGAACCTGTGTCAGTTCCTTCTCTAGCTCGTGCAGCATTTCATCTTTCTCTTGGAGGAGCTGAGGAAAGCAAAGTGTTATTGCTAATGAAGGTCTGAACAGCAGCAGGGCAAAGTCAGTCAGAGATTGTCTTGAGCCCGCCTCCAGCTGCCATCTTCTCTTGCCTGGATATTGTGAAAGTCTCTTACCTTGGCTCCCAGCCCACCCTCAAGCTATTCTCACTGCAGCAGCCAGAGGGGAGGTTCTGAAAATACAGGTCAGATCTTGTTATACCTCTGCTCAAACTCTCCACTCCACCTCCCTTAGAAAAAGGCCTCCCAGGATGCTCGTGACCTGGTCCTTGGCTACTAGGCCGACCTCTCCTCTTGGCAGTCCCACCCCTCTCTGCTTCAGTTGGTCTCCTGGAACACTCCAAGCAGACTCCCACTTGGAGGCTTTTGCACTTGCTGCACAACTTTTCCATTCTTGGTTTCATTCCCAGGCTTTTCCAGGACCTTGATTTATGTTGGCAACTACATACGGATCTTCTAGGCATAGCTCCATTAATATTTTCAAACTGCCTGATTTGTATTTTCTAAGATATTTGTAATTTTTAAAATTGAAATTTACTTCGTTTTCTTAATAAGGCTACACATTATTTTATAGTATTTCTTCCCACTATCAAGCAGGAACAAAAGCATAAGAGAACAATGCAAATGTGTCCTAAACTCTCTAAAGGGCTAGGGAAGAACCTCTTTTGTATAGAGTTAACGTAACTATTAAGGTCCTTGGATAATGCTATTTTATTTATTTATTCATTACGTGCTACAAGAAATACCAAAGAAGTGCTCAGAATCGTCTCTCGGCCTGCAGAGCCCAGTCCCGTGGCACACATGTCGATGCTCCCCAAGCAATCACAGTGGGTACAGAACTGCCAGACCCGCTCGCCCTGGCCAGAGTCTAGCCTCAAACCTGCCCGGCTGGCGGTTCCATCTAGAGAGCTCCTTCCTTACCGTGTCTTTCTTCAAACCAAGCTTTTGGGTTTCGCTGAACTGCATCTGCAGCTCCTGCAGCCGCCGCTGCAAGATGATCACCTCCTTATCCTTCCTCTCTATGTGGGCAGACGTCTCCTCTCGCAGCCCGTGCAGGTCCAGCTCCAGCTTCATCATGTCTACGGCGGGATGAGACAGAGTGCGTCTTGCTCAGAGGTGGGTCTGGCTTCTTTCCGGCACCGCTCCCCTGCCACCCCTCACCCCGCCCCGGCCCCCCCTGCTGCAGCCCACCTGCCCATGGCTTACCCTTCATGATGTTTTTCTTTTGTTCTGACACGGCTTCTAGCTCCATGCGCAAGTCCTTCACAAGGTTCTGGTACTCTTCCACATGCAGGCACTGGCTGTCTTTCTGCTCCTGCAAGTGCTTCAGTATCTGGGCAGGTGGAAGAAGAACAGGGCAGGAGAACAGAAGGGAAGAATGTTTTCTAAACTGTTGAATGTCCAGAACAGGCAAATCTATAGGGTAGGAGGTAGAGAAGGGATTGCAAGGGTTGGAGGAGGAAGGATGGGGAGTGGCTGCTCATGGAGATGGGTTTCTTTTTGGAGTGATGAACATGTTCTGGAATTACTGGTGATGTTGCCCAACTCTGTGAATACACTAAAAGTTGCTCATTGTACACTTTAAACGGTGAATTTTATGGTCTGTCAATTATACCTCAATTTAAAAAAAATAGAGAATTAAAAAAGAAAAAGGATGTGGCAGATTTCTCACACTCACATGGAATGTGCACAAAAGAAGCCACTTCGTCCTCCCTGCAATAATCATGTGATTGATGGAGCACCTACTATATGCTCGGCACCGTCCTGGGTGCTGCAAACAACCGGACACAAATCCTTGCCCCCATGGACCTGACCTTCTAGTGGGGTGAGACAGACAAAGAGCATAATAAGTGACTTACAGAAAATGTTAAAAGTTGATAAATTCTATGGACGAAACAGAAGAGCAAAATGGAATGGAGGTGAGGGGGAAGGAGCAGGGATGTGGGGTTGAATATTAAATCGGAGGGATCAGCTGGCCTCCCCGAGAAGGTGGCCTCTGTGCAGGGAGTCGCTGGATGTGATAGCTGGAGCCATGCTGTAGACGTCTGAGGGAAGAGCTCTGCAGACAGGGGGCCTAGCCAGTGACAAGGCTCCCAGGGACGAACACGAAGGAGGCCATGTGGTTACAGTGGAGCAAGTGATGGGGAGAGTAGGTAGAGATGAAGTGGGGAAACAGGAGCAGTCGCATCACGCGGGGCTTGTAGTCCCTCAGCAAGAACTTTGGCTTCTACCCTGAAGGGGAGGGGAATGGGCTGTAACCAAGAGATGGCAGGAACATGTCCGTGTGGCTGAGAAGGGACAATTAATTGTCTGGGCATCAGGGGAGGCTGAGAGGAGATAGTTATGTGGTTTTGGAGTTGACAATGAGGGAGGGATGCAGCATGAAGATAGGGGACAGCTGGAGACATACAAAGCAGTCACCGTTATGACCCGGTGTAGGCACTACAGGGACTCACAGGCCCCGTCTGTGCCAGGCCAGCGAAGTGGGGAGAGGATGGCCGGCATCACCTGTGATGTGGATGCTTTCGTTCCAACAGAATGTGTAGGGACCAAGAAGGCTTTAGATAGGATATATAAAATGGTAGGGGAAGGTGTATTCTGTTTCTTGGGAAAGTCTGTATTATTTTAAGAAATGGAATGTAAAAGAGGAATTAGTGTTTAGTGGATACAGAATTTCAGTTTTGCAAGATGAAAAAGTTCTAGAGATCTGTCGCACAATATGAATGTACTTATTGTGGCTGAACTGTACACTTAAAAGTGGTTAATATGATAAATTTAATGTCATGTGTTTTTTACCACTAGAAAAAAAATTGAAAGAGTAAGGGAGAAATAAAGACATTTTTCAGAAAAAAATAAAGTGCTATGAGATCTTGCTATATATCAAGATGTGAATAACATGGAACTCACCTTTAAAATAAATACTGACAGCTGTCCAAGGAGGAACCCCAAAGTTCAGGACTGATCCCTCATTCATTCAAACTTTCTGGGATCAGAAAGTCCTAGAGTTTCCGCTTCCCCGCTAGAGGACCCCTTGGGGAGCTGATACGTGTCGTCTACTCTCTCTGCCCCTATTTCAGCATCAGCAGGCTGCCCTCACCTATCCACAGCCTGGCCTCATGTCGCTGGCTTTGCCTTGGACCTCAAGTTCATGCATGGCTTACCTAGGAGGGGACCTGACCTAGTTTTGACTGTCGGTTGGTCAAATCTTGCTATTTGTTTACATGGTTTAAATGCTTATTCATTATTAGAATAAACTTTTGAGATAGCTTTGAATTAGCATCAGCAGGCTGCCCTCACCTATCCACAGCCTGGCCTCATGTCGCTGGCTTTGCCTTGGACCTCAAGTTCATGCATGGCTTACCTAGGAGGGGACCTGACCTAGTTTTGACTGTCGGTTGGTCAAATCTTGCTACTTGTTTACATGATTTAAATGCTTATTCATTATTAGAATAAACTTTTGAGATAGCTTTGAATTTTGAAAATATCGAGTTCTCAAAAAAAAAAAAAAAGGAATGAATTTGAATTAATAATCTTCCCCAAATATGCTACTTTTCAGCTGCAACCAGAAGCTAGAAGGCTGGAATGGTCCTTCTGAATCTAGGAGTCTCTGTCTCATTTGGATGTACTGTTGGAGGCGCATTAAGAGATAGGTACAATCTCAAAATCTAATGCTGCCAGACACACTCACTGGGCCTTGGCATATATTATGTACAGTATCCTTGTGGCAGGGCCAACCAAAGTCACACAGATATAAAATAAGTATGAAGCATAATATAAAATTAAAAATAAGCAGAAAAACCCAGAATCACGCCCAAATCGGCCTGACCTCCCCAAGCACAAATAAACAAAAGTTCTCCCACCTTTTTGATGTCTTCACAATCTTCTGAGGAGCTAGGAGGATGTCGGTGGGTGGCTGTATAAGAAGCAAAGTCTGCTCGTAATTTTATCAAAGCCTCTTCACGCTCCAGAACCTGCAAACAGGCACAGGTCAGTTATGCTGCATGATCAATATAATGTGTTTATTACCAGTACTATTTTAGCAGGGTTTTTCTTTTATCAGCCTAAGTTTGTTGTAGCATTACATAATTCATCATGCACTTCCTGTGGGATTGGCATGGGGAAGGAGCTACGTTCTCGATCTTACATTAAGTTTCACTAAGACATAGATAATGATTTGTCTCGAGTCTGCCAGTGGCCACATTTTGGACTCTCTCCTGAACCTCTATGCAGTCCAGCTTATTAGGCAGAAGAAGGTTCTTTGGAGGCGTCATGGAAAGATGCACCTAATCTATCAGGATGTGGGGTTCAAAGTTCAAGAATTAAAGAAGGAAGTTTTTATGGAATGGGTGAATGTATATACTTTTTTAAAATTAAAAAACATGCAATTTTTGTTCTTGTATATTGAGAAGAATTCAAATAAAGCATCAAAAATAAGAAGTGAAAATTTCCTCTCCATTTATTTTCCCCTCTCTCACTTTCACTAAGGAGATGGGACATTGGCAATTTCCAGTATATACTTCTAGATCATGATCAAAGATTTTAAAAACCAAAAGTGGAACAAACTAAACTATACATAAACTTGTTCTCAACAATACATCACAGCATTCTTCCATGTAGCCCTTACAGATCTGCTTAATCCATTTTTCTTAGCTGCATATTATTCCATAATATGGGTATCTCTTTAACCACTTCTTAATCTCTTTAACCATTTCCCTACTAATGGCATGTAGGTTATTGCATAAAAGATTTTAAGTCTCTTTACATCTTGAACTTGGTGTGGGTAGGGGGAATGCATACCATGGAGAATATGAACAAAAGGCTGGGGCAAGTATATCTAAGACATTTGAGGAGTCTTGGTGAAAGCAATGACTTTAGGTGACTCTTTTCCTCTTTCCTTTCATCATGGCTTTATTTTGAGTCTCAGAAAAAATCTTCTGGAAGAAGGCACTTACCAAAGCGTTACTGCAGGCTAGCTTATTTCGAAGTTCCTGGATTAGATCATCCTGTTCAGAGACCTTCTGCCAGACTTCAGACAGCCGTTTCAGGGTCTCCTGATGCTCTTGAATCATGCAGGGAGAGGTGTATATACGCACCTTGGAATGATCACCCTTGTTCTCAGGTTCCTGGGATATTAAAAAAAAAAAGGGTTGGTTTTGTTCATAATTTCTGAGTTAACTTCAGAATGCTATGGCATGAAAAATCTCTAGATCTATATTCTAAAAGTTTATGTTCATATATGTGAATCATAACTTTCTTAACAAAAGAAAATAATTAACAAGTGTACATGCATGGTATAAAGTTCAAGCAGTTCATGAGAGAACACACTGGAGCGTCAGTCTTCCCTGCTCTTGGTCCTTCAAGACTCAGGTTCCCTCCTCCATCACAGCCTTTGTTACCAGTTTTTTGAGTGTCTCTCCAGAAATTCACACTATTCTCACCATTGTGTTTTTACTTGACAATTTACTGAAGATATTTTCCATATTGTTACTTGTAGATCTATCTTACTAAAAATTAATTTCAAATTATACTAGTAACACATGTATATGCTATCTTTCTACAACATTGTAACATTACAGGCAATACTAAATTTCACTTTGATTGCCACCTCTAATCCCATACTCACTGCATTCTCCGGAAATGACAATTTATAAAAGCATTCTAGAACTTTAATGATACATTTATATACATATAATTGAAACTGTAGAATGCAGATAACATAATGTTGTCTTTTTAAAACACGAAAATAGATTTTTTTTTCACTTAACACGATGTATTAGAAATTTATCCATGTTAGTACATGTACTTTCTAGCTTGTTCTTTTAATGTGTTGCTTTTAAATGTATTTATCTAGTTTCTATCCTACTGATGGGAATATAGGTTATTTCTAAGTTTTCCTAAAACAAAGCTGAAGTGAATATTTTCACATATAAATATTTGAGTACCTTTTCTGGTAAGTTAAATTCATAGAAGTAGGACTGCTAAGCCATATTTAAAACTTTGATAGATATTACACAATATCTGTCTTTCAAAGAAATTGTACCAATTGACACTCCCATCAACATGAATATCCTGTTTTCCTAAAACCATTTTCAAGTGCCTTTTCCTAGATCATCTGAAATCATACATGAAGGTTACTATCTGCTTATTGGTCTACACTAGCAGTGGGGTGAAATGAGGCAGATAATTAAAAAAAAGAGCAAAGAGTCCTAGTTTTGATGGTAGGTCTTTTCTCTATTAATCTTATTTCCCTAAATGGGCTTGCTCAGGCTAAGTTAGAAATAGTTTATGTTCACTGAGCATGAAAGTTTCCCATGAGCAAGCTGTAGGAGGGTTAGTCAGAAGTCTAAAGTAGACCATAAGTAATGTTCTTATAAATAATTGAGTGGATAAGTGGGCAAAGGAATAATAAACAATAGAAAAGTTAATAGGAAGAAGTTATCTACAGGTCCCAATATTTTCTTAATACACGATGTCAGAACTTTAAATCAGTAGGAAAAGGATGGGATGTTTAATAAGTAGAATTGGGACAAAATGAAGATCCATTTTGATAAATATAAAATAATAGCCTTATCTCATTATGTATTCATGAAATATAAACAAACAAATAAGCAAAACAAACAAGCAAATAAAATTTCCAGATAGGCTAAAGATAAAAACATAAAAACACAAAATTATAAAAGTACTAAAAAGAAATACAAACTCTTATAATTTTGGGAGTAGATAAGGCCTTCCTAAGGTAAGACATAAAATCTAGAATCTATGAAGAAGGATCCAGAGTTCCCCATAAAAATTTAAAATATCTGTATGGTGAAAAGTATCATCAATAAAACAAAAAGTTACAAACTGGGGGGGAAATATTTGTTACACAATTAGTGAAGCATTATTACTTGTAATATATTATGAAGCTCTTATGAATGATTACAAAAAAGACTAACAACCCAATAAAAATAGGTTAAGGATGTGAACAGGTGATTCATAAAACAGAAATCCACACGACCAACATGTTTATGAACAGTGCTCAGAACTCCATTAGTGTGGTGGGCACTGCGATGTGCCCCCTGAATCCCTTCAGCACGAAGGAGTTCCTTCCCGAGCTCCCGGAGTGCTGCCCTGTCCCAGCCCTCCGCTGTCAGCCCTTTCTAGGAATTGCCTGGGCAGAAGATAACTTTTGCTCAAGGTCATGCTTCTCCCTAGGGACAGCTCACATCCAGTAACTGACCCATGTGGAGGTATAAAAGCCAGCTCTTTTCTCCCTCAGTTAGGACCACGTTGAAAAGGTCCTTCCAGCCCCAGAGTTTCCCATGGAGTTGGCTGAGGCCTTTGTTGGCACCGCGTCCCAGCTCAGCTTTTCCCTCTGCCCCATCCTGTTGCTTTCATCCCCTTCCTTTCATAGGTCTTGGTATCCAGAGCTCTCTTTAAAAATGTTCTGCACGCTAATCTGTCTTAAAGACTCCTTTCTGGAGGAGCCGATCCACAACTATTAGAATTAAAAGACATAAAAATTATAATGAGAAAACCTGTTTTTGTTTTCGTTATTTTTCATCCATCAGTTAAGCACAACTTAAAAAGACTGAAAATATACAGAGTGGGGAAATAAACTCCCTTAATTATTATTGGTCAAAGAGTAAACTGGTAAAACCTTTTTGGTATATAATTCAGAATTATCTTCAAACATTAAAAATAAGCATGCCCTTTGGTCCAGCAGTCCCACTTCAGGAAATTACCCCGCAGAAATGAGGATGTTCCTTACAGCTTGTTTGTAATAGACAAACAGGTCAGTAGATGGTATAGTCATACTATAGAATAAAAGGTAGTGACTAAAAGAGATCAGGATACATTTAAAAAGCAGGATATAGAATCCCATTTATAAAATGACTCATTTGTGAAAAAAAAACCTAATTATTTATATATTTAACTGTACAGAAAAAGGCTGGGGAAGACAGCACATTAGGCAAGCGATCACCTAGAGGAGAGTGGGGTGAAGGTGGACTTTCATATTTAATCTCCATACTTCTGTCTAGAGAGCCTATATCATTGTATTACTTGTGTAATTAAAAAAAAAGCAATTAAAAGAAAACAAAATAAAACAAATGCAGGCATTTTGGCTCTTCTTTTCCCTGTTTCATGGCTTTCTCATCCTGTCTGATCCTGAAGTCATGAGGCCTGTGACCTAGAAGAGCCCCTCACAAAACCCCCAAGAGAATGTGAAGGACTTGAGAACTTGAGAACTCACTTGGTAATTCACTTTCTGCCTGATCTGAAGTGGTGGCTTTTCATATTAATTAAGGGCCTCGACATTCCTAAGGGATAATAGTAAAGGAGATGCGAAGGCTGGACGTTCAAAGCTGAGGGTTACCAAATTCAAGGGAAGGAACGACATCTGGTTGAAGGTCTGGGTTTCCAGGGGAGGGGGCTGGGACTGTTACAGGGGACCATCTGGGATCACATCCACTTGCTGGAGCTCCCGGTTTGAGTGATCTAGACTCTAGGTTAAGTGCTACCTGACTGACAATCCCGCTAAGTTCCCCTTCCAACATCTTCACTTGGCACTCCAGTAACTCAATGTTGCTCAGGGAAGTCTGGTATTTATCCCTGTAGAGGTTTAAGCTCCTTTCTAGTGAGGCGATCTTGTCCCCGGCCAAGGCGAGTTGCTCCTGTGCCAAATGGAGCTTCTTCCCTGTGTTCCCATTATGATTTCCAATTTCCTCCTCATAGAGAATCACCTGTTGGGGTATAAATGAAACCACACTGAACCCGTAGAAGTATCTAATGAGGAAAGGATATGGCTATCAGTTCCCATGCAGAGGAGTCTTATATCTTAACTCGTCTTAAGGAACACAGATATACAGAATAAGCCCAGCACAGATGTAAAAGCTACAATATATAATATCAGAATGTTAATGATTAGAAATAAAAAAAGATTGTCCTATTTAGATGGTAAACTTCTTAAAGGCATGGACCACATCTGTTACCCAATCTGCCTAGCATGTAATGAGAACTCAATAAAGACTTGTTAGTTGATTAATAGGAATAAATTTATATAATTCCATTTTATTAAGGGCTTGAAATGCCAGTATTCTTTCCTTCCTAGGTATTCTCTAGAGGTCTAATTTAGAAAATATAGAACACCTCATGCACATAGGTCTGTGTCAGCAAAATTCCCTAGAGAGAATGGGGGAACATGACCCAAAGTTCCTCTGGGATTTGTACGATCTTTATTTAGATTCTTTTTCTTCCTAATCACTTAATTAGCCAACCAACTGACATATTTATTGAAGCTCATGAGCAGTACCATGGGTGCTGAGGGGACACACACCTACAAGACATAGGCTCCTTATTTGGAGTTTACAAATGCTCATGGTTTCGGGGAGAAACGATTTAAAGCGAACAAACAAGTGTACGTAGTGGGGAGTGCTAAACTATACAGCTTGAATTACGTGTATTGAAGGAGTTAAGAGCAGGAGGGTCACCAAGGAAGGCTTAATTTTGGTTTAAAAAGTTCAGTGTGGAATTTGGATAGAACGTGTTCTATTGGTCGGAGCTAATTATACTTGCTGCCTGCCTTTTGAGATCCTTCTTAGGAAGGGACCGTTTACTTTGAGGTGTTTATTAGATAAGGAGAAGAAGAAAGGAATATTTTACATTTAAATGTTCATAACAGAAGCTGTCAGTGGCCTGCTCATATCCCCTTGGCACCCACCATTCCTCTGCATGCTAAACTCATTCCAACTACAAGCATCTTTAGCTCTGACTGAGGATGCTCTGGCCCCAGGAGCCCACCCAAGCAGAGGAGCAAGACAAGGCAGGTTACAAGCACTGGGGAGTTGATACTTTCAGGTGCAGTCCTCGACCAGTGAACGGGGTGGGTTGGATGATCACTCTGCAGTGTGTTCTGTACCATCTCCCAGAAGTCTCTGAAGGGACTGAACCCCAGTTGTCCACAGTTCTGATCTTCTTCATAGTTTTTTTTAATGGGCTTCCTGCCCTTCTTCGACTCACTTCCCCACTCTCACTATGCTTCCTGGGGTCACCTCCTGAATTAGCTACTTATATTCTTCTTCTTGTTTGAGGGTTTGCTGTTGGAAAACCCAACTTTAGACAGAAGTTGGATGCTTCTGTGTAATAAAGTATTGGGGGAATTTGGCAGAATGCCTAAGGTAATTTTCCCAATGCTTTCCTGGTTTGGGACCTATGTCAGTGACTGCTGCTGCTGCTGCTACTTGCCACATCAATGCTCCTCTCCTCTTTAGTGACAGAACCTTGGCTTTATTTGGGACAGCAGTGTGCCTCACTAAACCCCTACATTTCCTAGGCTCCCTAGGAACTAGATATAGCCATGTGACTAACCGGCCAATAATATATAAATGTAAATGATGTGTGGAGTTCCTAAAGTGTCCTCAAAAGCAAGGAGTGTGCCTTTTTCTCCACATTCTTCCACCCCACCCTGATTATTTAAATCAAAGATGTGATGGCTGGAGCTCCAGCAGCCACCTAGAAAATGGAAGCCTTGAGCTGTTGATGGTGGAGCCAAAAGATAGGACCCTAAGTACTTTATAACACATGCAGTTACCATAGCAGTCCTAGATCACCTATCTTCGATCCTCTTTTATATGTCATAGAAATAAACTATCTTAGTTAAGCCACGATTGCTGGGGGGTTTTCTGTTATATGCAGCCAAATAGAATCCCAACAAATTCAGGGTCACTTTATTCAGGTTGGACTCTTGTTTCAGTTATAGTGAACCAGTGAGTTTTAACACAGCCCTGCATTAACTTTATTAAACCACGGTTTAATGCTCACTGGCTTTGTCCCAGATTATATTTCGTGGGATAACCCCTCCCTGTTCCTTTCCCACCCAATCCTTTTGAGCAAATTCTCATTGGCCATCATATTCACTTTAAAAAAATTCCGTGTTCTTTCAGACCCCTCATAAAGCCCCTGGGGTTAATCCTTAAGTAACAGCACTGTTCAAGACACCCCTTGGAATTTTATCTTTAAAGGCAAAGGAAAAAATGCCAGGGGAGGCCACCCCTTAGAACTCTTGGTGTTACCACTGCTCGTGGTACCGCTGCTGAACTGGTTTAAGTTCCCCAGCTTTGGTCTTTGGAATTTACTTGGGATTTCACAAGGAAGCTGCTCTCTGGTTTAAAAAGTACTACCCTGGGACATGAATAGAAATGAATGTCTAGAACATACTTAAGCTAAGTCTACATGATCTCAAACTCCAGTCTGAAAAAATAAACCGATCTGTACTCTCAATGACTGATTCAGAGTCAATGTCTGGTTATCTCATCAGCTGTGCCAGTGCCAGGAATTTACATATTATCAAAACCTAATTTTTCTAAAGATGGTTCATTTAACGAACTTTATGCCTTTTTTTAATAACCCTCAGAGACCCTGGAGTCTATTGCGTTTAAGTTGCAATGGTAATAGAATGGAAATGATGGGCTTTCACACATGTCATACACACACGTGTGCCTGTGCACACACATGTACTGCATACCCCACATGCATTAATACTGGAGTTCTCACCCAATTATGCCATTTTGTTTAGTTCCCTCTGCTCGGTTTCAAAAAGATCAAGAATTAAAGAGGGAAGGTTGATAAAACCTGCTCAAGATGTTGCGAAGCTCTCCTCTGTAAGTCCAGTGTTTGTTCTCTAGCAGGCTCGGCCTGATTTCTGAAGGTACGTGGGCATATGGGACCTTTCCATAGTAATTCTAGCTATACCTCATCTTCTTTCAGTTTGCAGTGATGGTGAAGAAGAACCAGGTCAGACGTCTGCTTCTCTAAGACGGACTGATACTGCAGGAGGGAACAGTAAGAAGTCTGCAGCTCCTCTGTGCGAAACTCCAGTTCTTGCTGAAGGGCCAGCAATTTTTTCTTGAGTTGTTGGAGTTGTCTCAGATGACACTTTTTACTGGGCTCAAACTGTATCTGTAATTCCTCGAATGGTATCACTTGCTTCTTAGTCTGCAGTTGAGATCAAATATACAGAAAAGGCTTTAGATCATCACTAAGTATGCATTCGTTCTTTGATTTTTTCTTTTGTTCCATCATTCACATGTATCTATCCATCCTTTTATCTTTTCTTTTACAGAGTGCTTATTAAACATTTCACAATGAAACATCACTTTCGATTTCCACTCTATAAGAAGGATTTAAAAGAAAAAAAGGGGGGGTGGATATCTCTGCCAATCCACAATCCACTCGAGAGAGAGAGAGGGAGAGAGAGGTCTCCCTGCTAATCCACAATCCACTTGAAATGCTGGTAGACTCATCCTACATTTTTCATTCATTCATTCATTCATTCATTCATTCAATAAACATATGTTTATCAGGCATTCTGCTGGTAAGACACATCCCTGAGTTGTTTATCAAGTACAGTTGAGGTCTTTGCACTGATGTGTCTACATTTTCTTGCCTAATATCCCTGATGATATGTGAAAGGTGGATGAAGAGGGGGTTCTGTGGATATCCCTTAGCTCCTATCTCTGCTTATTTCCTCCTATTTGTTCTTTAAAA